TTTTTGCCTTACAGATTTTTAGTTTTTTCCTGTTCTCGTTTGATTTTAACAACGACGTCGACTTTTTCGTTCCTCCATTGCCACGATGTTGACTTTGTAACCACACCTTGTTGTTTCCAGGCTCCACGGATATTATGCTGAGGTACCGGGCTTCCTAGCTCCAGACTCCTCTTCTAATTGTATTTTTGTTTTTTGTTTTTTTTCCTTTTCCGACCGACCGACCCAAAATCAGAAAACGCATTCGACAATAAACGAAAAAAAAAAAAAGGGGGATGGCCTAATCTGCGATCAGGCGAGTTTTTTTTACGCTCACCTTTACAGTCCGCTAGAAAAACTACGCCTGAGACATTTTCACTTTGACCGACTGGCATTGATTAACACGGCCACTAATAGCCAATGAACATTACTTCCGGCACAATGTACTACAATCGTGAGATCGTTCGTGAGTGTACGCGCGGTTCGAAGCATGTTTCATCACCAAATACTGGGAGGTGGAGGTTTTGCGGTAAATTCAGTCTAGATTTGATACTTGGACGTTAACAAAGAAACGGAGGAAAATTCTAACTCTGTAGATCCTCGACTTTCTTGTGCACCGTTCAAGAATGTTACACGGAAGCAGATTCATTTTTTTGGAAGACAAGAAAAAGAAAACCACAGCCGTATACTCTAAACAAAATGATTAAAATGACAAAAGTGAAAATAATACTTATCGTTATTATTATTTGTAGAGAAGCGAGAGGTAACAAATTGTGGGCTAAACAAAATATGTTATTTGAAAAGGAGCATTATTACGCAGAAAATAAAGCGCACTGTTTTTATTTCGGGGAAAAAAAACCTCAAGAGAAGAGTGAACAGATTCAGTACGTTTTTAATTATTGTTTTTCTCAGCTCGTGAGCGGGCGGAGTTCGGCAACAAATCCTGCAATTTGATTTGTTGCGGGAGCGGTCGGTAATCGTCAATCTTTTACCTTTTTCACTTTTCCATCGGAGATTACTCAACTTAAGTTTATCTCTATTCATTTTTAAATGGCAAGGAAAGTCGCAGTAAGTAAATTCAACTGAGTGTTTTGAAGTTGTGAGAGTTTGTTTGGCCGTTTGTAGCTCGACGCTGTAATTGCGCGTAATCCTGTGTTTCTGTCGCCACAAAATTTTAAGCAAACAATTCGTCAATTACAGTCGAGTTTACCTCTCTGAGCGTTGCTGTATTTAAGAGAATTTCTGTGGAATACACTTAACAAATTTCCTCGCTTTCTGTTATTCCATTTACGGTAGAAAAGTCTGATTTCGAGTGATTCGCGGTCGCAACGACTGACAGAAATTATTTTTGTAGTACAACTATAAACTTTGCAGGAAATTTCACACTAGATAAAACAATTTTGGAGAACTTAACTGGTGAACTTGATGCAACTAACATAAAGAAGTTCGAAATAAATCTGTTCTTTAATAGATCTTTCTTTGTCTGGTATCAGAGTTACTCGCTCGTTCCCTCGTTAGATTTTTTTACGAATGGTTACGAAAGCCGATTTACGGCAGGAAAAAAAAAATGTGTTATTTGCCTGCTTACGGTCGGTCCGTAGAGTGACACACTGTGACCTCGGGCTTGAAAATGCAGAATTATTAAGACCTCCGGGTAACAGTTTTTCACTTTACGGAACTCCCAGCCGGCAAATAACACATTGACTGGAAATTTTAACATTTGTGCAAAGTATCACGTCGACTTTAAAAAAAGCCGTACATTATTTTCGTCATTTGTCACTCGTAACACACTCAGTTTTGTTATTTTTCACTACTGTTCAATTGAGAAATGCAGTGCTGTTGTTACTGTAGCCAACTGATGTGTCCTTACTTACAGTGGGTGGATGTAACAATTACACAGACCTGAGTGAAGCAGACCGCGCCCAAGGACAAATAGTGATCAACGGCAACTATAGATGCGATTGGAACCTGGTAACAGGTTGGTATCGTTTCCAAGGAGCTGCTGGAGATCGCATTGCGGACAAATGTGTTCCCATGCGTCACTGCGGTACTGCAATTCCAGGTTGGCTCAATGGCGCACACCCGACGATCGCCGAAGGTGTAGTCACTCGTAGAGTCTGTTTTTCCTCGTCAGACACCTGCTGTTACCGGTATAACAATGTCAGAATAAAGAACTGTGGCGCGTATTTCTTGTACCAATTTTCGAGGCCGTATCAATGCTATGCTGGGTATTGCGGTAATGAAAACGCAGGTAAGTTTCTCGGGATTTTTTAATTATTTCAGTGGGCAGCCGGCCAAAACATCAATTTTTCATTTAAATAAATAGACAACACGTTTTTACTGTTGCGGAACAGGTTAAATTGATGGTTAAATTAATTGTATTCTTTTGGAGAAAAAGGTGATTGTCGAAAATCACTTTGCATACGAGACTCGAGAAAGTCTGCATGCAAACATGGTGGCCCATGAGGCCGACGTTCATCTCAGGTTTCTCAGGCTACAATTATTCATAGATTTCCACTCCCCCATAGATGGAGAGCTACTAGTTCACCCAAGATAGTCCTCCAGCATTTAATCGCCACACCCATTTTTAACTCTCCTGCTACCTGCGTGCTGTACATCTATCACTTGTGACTTGCTCGGTTTTGTTATCTGTCAGTACTGTTCAGTTAAGCAACGTAATTCATCTTGTTACCGTAGCCAACTGATATGTCCTCATTTACAGTGGATGGGTGTAAAAATTATACAGTCCTGAGTGAAGCAGACCGCGCTCAAGGACACGTGGAGATCAACAACAATTTTAGATGCGATGCGCGAGACCTGGTACCAGGTTGGTATCGTTTCCAAGGAGCTGCGGGAGATCGGATGGCGGAGAAATGTGTTCCCATGAATCATTGCGGCAGTGACATGCCAGTTTGGTTTTCTGACCCACACCCGACAATCGCAGAAGGCGTGGTCATTCGTAAAGTCTGTTTTCACTATTCAAACAAATGCTGTTTTTGGCGTTACAACATCAGAATAAAGAACTGTGGTGCGTATTTCGTATACGAGTTACTGGAGCCGCGTTCATGCTCAGCTCGGTATTGTGGTAACGGAGTCGCAGGTAAGTTTCTCAGGATGTTTTTAATTATTTCAGTCAGCAGCCAAAACATCAAGTTACAGTAAGGATTTAAATTTGTTTAGGCAACACCTTTTTACTGTTGTGGAACAGGTTAAGGTTAAACAACACCTTCGCGGTGCCCTTCAGAAAAAATTCATACCAGCGTTAATTTTAAGGAAACTACCACAAACTATATGTCAATAGAAAGGCTATAAACTGTAAATTTCGGGAAAAATACCTACTATTTTGGCCGTGCCTTTGTGGAGAAGAAAGAAGATGGAAAATGGAAAACGACCGACTGTTATTCGGCCGAATTAATCTGGTATCAAACGCAGTGTTAATCAGCAAGCATCAATCTCTCAAATCGTGTCGGGGTTTTCCTGTATTCTTATTGGTCATCTTTTTATAGACCGGTGATTTACAGTATTGAATAATTTCCGACCCTGCTACGTTCGCGCCTGCCACAAGAGAAATGTTCCATATAAAAAGAAAAATCCTCGACACCCTTTTGTTCTTCGATTTTAAAGAAATGTTCTGGCCAAATTTCGTGACAATCTACCAACTCTACATACCCTATTAATTCATTTAAAGAGATAGTACTCTCGCGAAAAACTATTGCAAGTTATCGCCGTTAAAGAATGGTAAACATGTCACGCCTTTACTCGGATGTATGTCAACAGAATATGCCGCCAGCCAATGAAATCATGGCACCCCTAACGTTCACGGCAAGTGAAATGATTTTCGCGGGAATCCTAAGACAAGAATGGTCTAATAGTCACGTTTTTCTTGTTGAACTTCACTGAGCGTGCATTTATAGAGACGTCTTCACCGCTCATGAGAACTAGGGAAAACCAAGAGGAATAAGCGTGGTACGAGTATGCACGATCCCTTACCGCTATTGGTCAAGGTTGCCTTCTTGTCTTCCAGAAATTCCGTTTTTGTCTCCGGTCCTGGGACGCGTTTCTCGAAAGCCCCGGAAACTTTTCGGGCCCGTAAAGCCATTTTTAGTTCATCTGTATCTAAAAACGGAGAAGTGTATACGCTTGAAACTTCTTGTATGAAGGCGGGAACCTCTGATNAGAACCTCTGTTCATATTAAGAATATGTAAATAAAACAGCTCTGTAATCGTAAGGTTCGAGATTTTGCTAAGGCTTTCCGGGCCCGAAATGTTTCCGGGGCTTTCGAGAAAAGGGCCCCTGGCTTCGATTTTTTCGCTGTCCAAGGACTTTTCTCTTCCTTTTTTTAGCACGTTTCATGACCTCATAAGGAGTGATAGATAGCAAAGAGGAACGAATTAATTCGAGAACACAATTGAGAAATAGCGTGTTACAAAATAATGCTAATAAGGCCCTTGTAATAAGAGCTGCCGGAGGAAGCAGTTTCGCGCAAAAGTTGTCTAGGCGCTATGAGGATTATATATGACACCTAACTGTTACTAAAAAAACTTTTTGTCTAAATACCTCAAGCGCGTTATAAAGTTTTACTCTCATTTTCTGGGAAATGTTAGATTTTACAGCGGCCTTTTTGTTTTGCTTGAAAAGAAAACTGAGACAAAAGTAGCACTCTCAAGGTATTGTGTAACCTTAAATTAATGGTTAAATTAAGTGTATTCTTTTCGAGAAAAGCTGATTGTCGAAAACCATTTTTCATAAGTGTACTCTCTCAACCACAAAAGGCGGTTGTCGTGAACATTTGGCGTAAAACTTAACTTTCTTGTAAAAAAAGTGTTATGCGTTTCTTTGTCGTTCAAGTGAAACAAAAAAACAAAAGCCAAGTGTGAAAACATATTCATTTGCAAAAGCCAAGTATGTTTTTGAAGTTCATTTTTTTCTTCTTAGAAGGCACCTAAAAGCACACTGACTCTGAATGACTATAAAGTTGGGTTAAATTCAAATCACTCTAATTTAGTGTGTTTGCTTTGGAGATTCGAGAAAGTCTGCGTTCAAACATGGTGGCCCATCAGTTCGACGTTCATCTCCGGTTTGTCTGACTACAATTATTTATAGATCTACACCCCCCCCTTCCCCC